AATAAAGGATCAATAAATTGTTCAATTTATTAATCCTTTATCCATATCTGGTAATTATTAACTATTTACATCTTGGATAATCTTGAGGTCAAAATTACTCAAGTTGTTTGTAAGCACTTTCAAGACCTATATAACTATAATTATCTAAATTCTTTAGTATATAATTATACATAATTTTTAACTAATTTCACCTTAAAAATCTAAAAATGACTTACATAAGTAAACTTTGTATATACAGTTTAGTTATATAAGTAATTTTAAGTTTGCTGTTCAAAACTTGATTATGTTTTTTATATTAATAGTTATGCGTTTAAATGAGTTATAAAAACTAGCTAAAAATAAATTAAATGTTTAAACGCATATATATTGCTTATATACCATTATATTAAATAAAATTTTTATAATTTATTATTAATTTATTTGACCATTTTATAATGAATAAATTTATTTGAAAAAAAAAAACTTTTGACTGGTTTGACTTTTTTAATAATTGATTTCGTAAATTGTATAAAAACGTGAAAATTAAGAAAAATTGTGTTTTTTTGCATTTTTTCAAAGTCAATTAAGCTTGCCATTTTTTATTTTGGAGAGTTGAAATTTTTTATGAGCTCATATTTTACCCTGTTGAACTTACTCCCAGGTTACTAAAGTTGAATTTCCAAAAAAGTATGCAAATCACTCCACCCTAATGTGTATATGTGTAATGTATATGTGTAATGTATATGTTTATGTAAATAGTGTATAGTATATGTAGTTGCAAATAGCTGGAAGTTTTATTTCTCACAAAATTTCAAGTATTCAAGCTAATTATAGAATTAGAACTGTTAACATAAAACTTTTACACAAATTATTCGAAAAATTGTTAGAGATAATTGAATGCACTGACGATGAAAGCCAGTTTCATAACTTAAGTGATTTAAAAGACACATTAAACAAAAAATATAATAAAGTCATCCAATTGGATGAAGAGATATTTTTACTAATTGAGGACGAGGATGAGTTAGAGAGTGAACTAGAATCTTCTACAGAATTTAAGATATTTAACTGTTTTAAACTGTACATCTTGTATAAGATGTTTTAAATGTCGTTTAAGCTGTTTTAAATACATCATCACGCAGCATTTTGTCTAGAACAACAACATAATGAACTGCAAAATAAAGGTAAACTAACTGCAATTTCAGGTAATGGTAATCAGTCTATTTTACTACAAACTGCTTTCACTGATGTCTTTAGCAGAAACAACAGATTACATCATCTTTGACAACTGTTCACAACTTAGTTACATATCCCCCGATTTATGTTGTAAATTAAAACTCTTTGACAACTGTTCACAACTTAGTTACATATCGCCCGATTTATGTCGTAAATTAAAACTTGAATCTATAGGTAAAAAGAACATTAACATGACATTTGGCAACAATAACACTAGAGAAAGATTAGAAAAAGTTGAGCTAAAAATCAAATAATCATTTAGAAGTGCACCTAATAACGATCAATATATAAACCTTTCTCAAGAAAAGTATAGACAGTTACAAAATTTAAGACTTGCTGATAGTAATTTGAAAAACAGTGACTTGAGAACTGATATCTTGATTGGGGCAGATTATTATTGGTTATTTATTGAAAATTCTATTATTAGGCGAAATCATTTTGATCCCATTGCCAATAGATCTAAACTAGGTTATTTATTAAATGGTCCTATAAATGTTAATATGTTTAAAATTAAAAATTATGATTGTTGTGTGAATACAATTCATGTCATGTTAGTAGGATCACATTCATCTCCTGATTCATTGTTGAAAGAATCCATGACACCAATTTGAGGTGTTGGTGAAATGAATGAGTGTAACTTTGAAGTTGTTGATAGGTTTTATCACACTATTAAATAGATAAAAAAGAATACAAATCAATATTTGACTTTAGAAACTTAATACACAATGATGACTTAAATCCAAAGAAGCGTAACATTCTTCAGTTTATAGCAAGTATTTTTGATCCGCTCAGAATAGTTAATCCGTTTATAGTGTAAAGTCTTTGTACTGACTAACTTAACTGGGACAAGCCTATGACAAAAACTATGTACTGACAAACTTAACTGGGACAAGCCTCTTGAGGGTAAAACATTATTGGTGTGGCAAGCCATTATCAATGACATTAAAACATCTAAACCCATTATCTTTTACAGGTGGTACCATAATCATTATCTAAATCATGTTGTTGAATAATAATTACATGGATTCAGTGATGCTAGTAACTGTGCTTATGATTGTTGTATATACTTGTTATGTTTATTTGATGATAAGCACATAAATTGTTCGCTTATAACTGCCAAGTCTAGGATTGCCCAAATTAAAACACCTCCATTCCCCGACTAGAATTAAAGCCAGCTTTAACATTAGCTGAAACAATGTCAGCAGTTAAAAAAGAATTATACCCTGTTCTTAAGTTTATACAAATAATCTGTTGGTGTGAGTCTACAATAGCATTACATTTTTCTAAGAGAGAATTAAAAAAGTTAGAGAAACATTTGACATTACATATTGGAGATATATTGAATCTCACAATAACCCTGCAGACATAGTATCCAGAGGCACAAACTTAAAAAATTTATTTGATAAAAAATTTTGTGGACCAGCACTTCTTTAAAATGATCCAAATTTGAACTAAGAACTTTAATTGATAAAATCGAAAAAGCCACTACTAATTTAGTTTTAAATGAGAATTATTTAGACTTAAATATGATAGACATTACTCGATTTAATAACTATTTGCATTTATTAAGAGTTACAGCATTGGTCCTACAATTTATAACTAATTTAAAGCTTAAAAGAGATAAAAAGCAATTAAAATTATCGAATTTAGATTCACTTGAAATAGAAGAAGCATAAAAGATTTGGATTATGCTTGTTTAAAGAGCAATAACAAGTGATAAAAATTTTAAGCAACTTCAATACCTGAACTTACAAAATATAACTAGAATCATACGATGCATTGGTCAACTTCTAAATGCACCAATTACAAAAATGCAAAAAATCCAATATTCCTACCTCAAAATTCAGAATTTACGAACCTACTTATTAATCACAACCATTCTTTAGTTATGCACAATGGTAATAAAGAAACTTTAAATCAAATACAAACTTCTGGATACCTAAAGCACGAAACCACCTTAAAAAACTAATTAAAAAAATGTTATATTTGTAAACGCTTTGAAGGACTGCCTTATTCATATCCCTCGCTTTTTAAAATTTGCTGACTGTCTTAACGACATTTGCCAACCAACTGTCTAAGTTTACCGACTAACTTGTCAAAAGGGTCTACATTTGCCCACTAACTAGTCAAAAAGGGTCAATTTGAAGACTAAATAAATCAAAAAATCATTGATGGGGGGGAGGGGAGGGGAGGGGTGCCAAATGAGGAAGTCTTGCAAAAATTGGGGCGGCAGAGGCCTAGGAACAAAAAAACCCTAAAACATTTTTACCCCCTGCCCAAACTTGAGGGCACGATATAGTAAAATTTTCAACATTACTATCTTAAACTCAACTTAAATTTTTTGACAGTTTTTAAATTTGATAGAAAAATATCAAATTTAATAATAAAAGTTATGACCTTACAAAATTTCCAACTTTGAATGGTCATAACTTTTATAATTTACAATACTTTTCTATCAAATTTAAAATTTTTAATGGTCATAACTTTTATAATTTACAATACTTTTCTATCAAATTTAAAATCTGTTGATAAATTTAAGTTTAGTTTAAGATAGTAAAGTTGAATAATTTATCAGTGCCCTCACATTTGGGCAGGGGGTGAAAACATTTTAGGGCTTTTTTTGTTCCCAGGCTTCCGCCGTCCCAAATTTTTGCAAGACTTCCTCATTTGGCATAGGTATGAACATACTTAAGTTTGGAGTTTTCACAATGTGTGGAAGTGTCCTATCTGAAACATCAAAAAATGCTGGGTACGCGCCTGCCCTTATCGCACCGGCCTTGCTTTTCGGCTTTGTTTTTTTTTTATTTCCATTTAAATATTTTATTTTTACGTACCGTGAAACCTAATGTATTTTTACTAAATTCAAAAAGAAAAATAGTATTTTCAGTTTAAAGATGTTGTAAGTAGAACTTATTTTTGACAAATATCAGTATAAATTTGAAATTTATGTATCTTATATTTATAGCATTAGAACTAGTTTTGTTTTTAAAATAAAGTAAATATAAGTTAAGCTTTTAAAGAGTTTATTTATCAATCATGTTATTTTTATTTGGTTTAAAGTTTGGTTCGTTTTATAAAAAAAATTCTTTGACATGAAATTTAACGACAAAAGGAAAACCCAAACATATAACTTTTAAACTCGTATTGGAAAGAACTTTTTTGTATTGACGTCATTTATTAACTACAAAAGTGCATTATTCAGACCAGTACGTACCTGAAACTTAACTGAAATTAAAATAAAGTTATATGAATGCGAACATTTTAAAGTAACTTGAATTAAATTTAATAATTTTTTTTTTACTTTAACAAAAATTTTGGAAATTTTATCAGTAAAAAAAATTGTAAAACGAAGCGTTTTAAAATTTTTAAAAGAATTGTAATTAAATTTAATCAAATAAATTACTAAAATTATGAATAATATTAAAATTAATATAAATTTAATAAAATAAATTAAATATTTTTTTTTTTTAAAAAACGGAAAAAAAATTTGAATATATAGCAATTACCTAATTTAACAGTGTTATATTAACCAATTCTAAGATATACCATCTCACTTAATTTTGATTTAAACTAATTATATAACAATTATAACCAATTATATACAAATTAATATATATCAATTACCTTCACTTGTTACAATGTTAGTTATTTTTCACAATGTTAGTTATTTTTTCACAATGTTAGTTATTTTTTAGTTATTTTGAGATCCTATACCTTATTTTTAGTTTCTATTTATTTAAGGTATAGGATCTATTTTAGATCCTATACCTTAATTTTATAGCAATTACCTTAATTTTAGGGCAGCTTTTACTACTCCCACAATTAACAGCACCATCTGTATCTGCAAGAATTCCACCATGACAAACACCTTCTGTTTTATAGCGAAATCGATAACCATACTAACAATTTGATATATAATAATTTGATATTAACAAATTTTTGATATTGCAAAATAATAAAATATAATAACATTAATTTAAATAACTATAAAAATAATATATACTTAAATTTATAAATATATGTAAAATTTACTAAAACTCAGGGATAGAGTGAAAAAAGACTTGAGGATTTAGTTTCAAACATTATACCAAAAATGATTCTGGAGCTCCAAAAATGTAGGAACTTTATAACTCCATAAGAACTCTAAGAACCCTGGAACCTATTTACTTTTTTTCTATATGAAAAAGTGTTTAAAAATTTTAGGAACACTGCTAAGTTTTATATGTCTACGTTTAAAATAGGTAACAATTGGGAAGTATTTTTTGAATATGTATGCACTTAAATTAGGGAACAATTGTGAAGTATTTTTTAAATATGTTTAAGTTTATATTAGGGGAAAATTCTGAAGTACTTTTTAAATATGTTTACATTACAAGTAATTTGTTTAAAATGACATGATTTGTTTGTCCCCATTTCATTAAAAAAAATTCAGCCATTTTGTTGTCATGGTAACAATAAATTTTCAAAAAGATTTTGAATTGTGTTAAAAAATAACTTTTGATGAATATAATCATTATGTCATTAAAATGATTAAAACTATTTGAATTTTGGAAACTTATTTTGCTATTATCATTAAAATATAAAAATGTGGTAGGTGTTATTGCACAACATTCAATAATAAAAAAAGAATGCAACAATCATAAATTTTTATAAGTTTATAAATACCTTTCTTGGTTGTCTCTCAATTTTAAGATAAGGACCACTATGAGAAATACCTACAAAAATAAATTCATAATCATTTAGTTTATATGACTTAGTCTAATATTATATATATATATATATATATATATATATATATATATATATATATATATATATATATATATATATATATATATATATATATATATATATATATATATATATATATATATATATATATATGTATATATATATATATATATATATCAGGCCTCGTAATTAGGGTTGACCTAACTGCCGACCTCTAAGTGTTTGAGGTTGGCAAAAATTTGCCGAATTGATTCTATGTTTTATAGTCACCTCTTTGTGTCAAATTTTTTCGAGGTCGGCTACATTTTTCCTAATTCCGAGGGTTGATATATATAAACATATACATTTATATATATATATATATATATTATTTTTCGAAAATTATGACCATATAATGTTTTAACCCCCTTGATTTGAGGGGGCGGTAAACTTTGTAGGGTCATAAAAACTAAAAACTAAGAGATTATTGCATGAAATTTGAAATTCGTTGATGAATATGAACTTAGATAAAAATACTAAAGAAATTATTTTATCAACTTGTTGCTCCCAAATTAAGGGCTAGGTGGGCCCGAAAATTTTGTCCCTAAGCTCCAATCACCACAATTTTTTGCAAAACATTCTCATTTGACATAAGTATGAACATACAAAAGTTTGGAGTTTGCAAAATGTGTGTAAGTGTCAAAACTCAAACATCTAAAAATCCAGTGTACACCACTGATATGTGTGTATATATATATATATATATATATATATATATATATATATATATATATATATATATCAGGGCTCGAAAAATTGTTTTTTTTTTTAATAAACATTGACGTTTGTTTTTTTATTTATTGACGAACGTCTAATTTAAGAGGTATGTCAAATATCCATCCACCCCCACCCCCCTACCCCTCCACATATACACACTTTTTAAAAAAAAAAATTTTATTTAAGAGAAATTCAAGATATAGAGGACTTTTTTCATTAATAGATGGTTGCGCACCTCCATTTCGAACCCGTGTGTCGGCCAGAATAAGCCAGTTTCATTTTAACTTCTTTAATTTTTTTTATTTTTTATTTAAACAATTTTTTTATTTAATTATAAGGGAGTTTTATTTTCAATTTAATTTTATTCTAGTTGATAAGATATATAATAATTAGATGTATCAAAGATACTTATCGAATTTTATCAATTTTTATTAATTTAAAACAATTTTTCACGCATTTGTAAAGTGTGCGCAAATTAATGATAACTAATATGCAATAAACTTTTCACTGTAAACTGTTATCTATTAATACAAAATAGTGAATTTTTCTCAATTTAGTTTGTTAAATTATAAAAAAAAGATATAAACTTGATAAAATTTAAATAAAAGGGAACTATATAAAAATAAAATAAAAGTTATTTTGACATTTATATTTTTTAAATATTTAAAATTAATATAGTATTAAGCATTTAATAAGTTATTAAATTTATAATTTAATAAGTTACTATCAAATACCTGATATGCTATTATTATATCTATAATATTAAGTATTTAATAAAAAAATATTATATTATTGGTTGTTGTTAAACGCACAGTAAAAAATAAAAACTATAATCAACATAATAGTTCTATAAAATCTATTAAATTTTATATATTTCTGCAAAATTTTTTTAAAACTTTAAAAACAGCAAATAAACATAAATTTAATGATAATAAGAAAATTCAAAAAAACACGCCTTTGGAAAAAGAATGTTTTAGCATGATTCCGTTTAAAGTAATTGGAAATGCATTCATTTTAAGTTAAACTTGCCATTCTTTTGTAAACGCATGTAAGAACCATGCTAAATATAATTTTTTCTACAGTTGCATACTTAAAAGAAACGCTATTGAAGAAAGTATTAGCGCGGTTACTTTTAATGTCATTGAAACTGCGTTTTAAATTTTAGTAACTTATTTTTTTTATATTAATTATGTTTTTTTATAAAATAAATAAAAAACTATCAATCACATAATTATTTGGAAATAAAAAAATGCTGAAGATATGCGTTCGTTTTTAAAAAATTTAAGCGAATGCCAACGTTTGCTTAAATAAAAGTAAGGAAACGTGACATTCGTTTTTCTGTCTTTTTTTTAACAAACGTTCGCATGTTCGTCGATTTGTCGTGCCCTGTATATATATATATATATATATATATATATATATATATATATATATATATATATATATATATATATATATATATATATGTATACATATATGTATATATATATATATATATATATATATATATATATATATATATATATATATATATATATATATATATAAAAATGTTCGCACGTTCGTCGATTTGTCGTGCCCTGTATATATATATATATATATATATATATATATATATATATATATATATATATATATATATATTTATTAGAAAGGGGTCCAATTTTTTATGCCGATTTGGAATTACTAGATATTTTTTTTATTATAAATATTTAGTCCTCTACTTCAATTTCAATAAAAGTGATTATTTCGACAAAACAATCAATTGTTAAATTAAATGAAATCATTATTATTATCAAAGTAGATTGGTGGTAAATGTTTTTCTTTTTGCTTCATCAATAAAATACATTATTATTATGTGTAGTTACAAAAAAAATAATACAACAAAAAATTATTCATTATACATGAAATTACTCCATATAAAGAACAATTAACATGTGAAATAACTTCAGTGCAACCATGGTACAGTGATTTGAGTTCTTTCTCAGAATCAAGAAATCTGAGGTTCGATGTTGGCTCAGACCAGATAAGCAACATTGGTAAAGAAGGAGGTGTAAACTTCCTATTTAAATTGCTCTTCCATGGTGCTTTGTGATAAGACACCAAGTTTTTCTTGGAGCAGCTTAACAACCAAAAAAAAAATCATTGTAGGTGATTGTGGATTGTTGTGAGGATTTTCCAAGTGAAGCAGAAACTTTAAATTATTAGCTTATTCTTCTGTAGACATAAGATGGCTTTTTTTTGTATTTTTATCAACAACTATTAGTATTAGTTTATGCTGTGACTGGTATTGCTACAGTGAGTGTGGTTTTAAAGCACACTATGATAGCTGAGTCTTGTGATGGTTTGACTGCCATCGATCAAGTTAGCTAAATTAGTTTTAACAACATTTTCTGGCAGTGCATTCCAATAATTTGCAGCTCGATTTAGTAAAATATTTTTTATACTATTATGTACAGAAAATTCTTTAGAATACTTTAGGTTATGGCCACGAGTACGATTACATTTTAAGGACTTATTTTCTTTAAATTCAACTTTATCGTAACCTTTAAAAATTTTAACCAGTTGATTTATGTCACTACGTTGTCTTCTTTTAACTAGTGAGGGCATTCTAAGACAAGCTAGTCGATCTTCATAGCATAATTTATTGATTGAAGGTACCAATTTAGTGGCACGACGTTGTATTCTTTCTAAAATCTCATTATCTTATTTTAATATGCGGTTTGCTTTGCTTGCACTTGATAAAACTTGATTTTTCCACTTCAAGTAAATGAAAAAATCACTCCTAGGTCCTTTTCTGAATCTGATATGTTGAGTTTACAACCATTTATATAAATTGGGTATCTCTTATTTTTATAGCCATAGTGTATAACTTAACATTTGTCAATATTAAAATTAAGTAACCAATCTTGTGTCCAAGTATACGCAAAGTTCAAATCACATTGCAGTTTATTATGTAACTCATCAGAAGGACTAATCGACATGATTTTTGTGTCATCAGCATATAATTTTGAAATAGTTTTTAGAGACTGAGGAAGATTATTTATATAAAGTATGAAAAGTAGTGGACCTAATACAGATCCTTGAGGAACTCCACTATACACATCAGCCCAAGTTGAGACATAATCTCTCATAATAACTCTCTGCCTTCTATTAGATAAGAAAGCTTGAAACCAATGAAGTGCTAAGCCACTAACACCATACGCTTCAAGTTTTAAGATAAGCCTTTGATGTGGTACAGTATCAAATGCTTTTTTAAAGTCAAGTAAAACTACATCCACAGGAATTCCTTGATCCACATTGCTTGTAATATAATCTAGAGTTTCAAGTAAATTTGTAGTACATGATCTATTTTTAACAAACCCATGCTGTTGATTAGCTATAACATTATTTTCATGAAGGTATTTTTCAAATTTATTTTTAATTATGCCTTGTAGTATTTTAAAAATAATACCTGGAAGTGATATAGGTCTATAATTTTCAGAATCAGTCTTGTCACCTTTTTAAAAAGAATATTTTTTTAATTCGAAAGATGGAACTCAAAAGAAGATAAGTGATATTTTGATTATCCAAAAAAAAAAAAAAAAAGATAGAAGACAAATGTTTCTTCATGTTTTAATTATTTAAAGTTCGCAATAAATAAATAAAATATTTAAGAAAAAAAACAAATATTTTTATTACATGTGATTATAACATTTAAAATTGATTTTATGACCCAGACTTTTTTGATTCTTAAAGATAATGATGTCTTTTAATATTTCATTATCATAAATTCCAATTAAGTATCTTGGAGGTATCTAAAATTTTATGCCAAAGTGAACAGGGTTTTGAATTTCCATGCGTGATTTAAAAGAACTAATTATTTAGAAAAAGAAATGTTAAAAAGTTTCAATTAAAGTGATCTTTTTACTTTGCGTATTGTTAGGTTACTGAATTGAATAACAAAATTTTTTTTTATTCTACAACATTTTAGCATTGTCTTTTTGCATCACGCACAGACATATCACGCACGGACAAATATTCATCTGTGCGTGATAATTATTTTTCTTTAGCTTTATAACGTTCAAATAGCATATTTGCTAATTAATTAGTTGGAGTAAAACTTAGTTAGATAGAAAACAGTTGCTTAAAAGAATTTAGAATTAAAATGAACAAATTTAAGCATTCAATGATTCAGAAAGAAATTAGAAAGAAACATCCAGAACATCGGATTGCTAAAACTAATCGA